AAAGATGTGGTTCTGTGTTGAAGAAGAAGTGAGAAAATATGAGAGGATGAGACTTACAGATAAGATGAAAATCGGAAGATGTGGCTTGCGAGATGGAGAAACGAGAGGGAGAATGTGGATGTGCGTGTTTGATGCGCGAGAGGTGAAATGTGAAATGAGATGGCGTTTCTGTGCGTGAGAGGAAAGGCCAAAGACGTGGAATGGAGGAGCGGACGCCATGCGCTAAAGAGGCCGTGGAAGGGGTGGGGTGGGCACAGCGAAACACTACAAGAAAAAAAGTGTATTAAGATACAGCAAAAAATCAGATATAAGACCAAAAATCCGTATATAATACTTGTTTTATATACGGGATTACATACGGACAAAAAATCCGTAATAATACCGTCGTAGCTAGGTTTATATACGGTTTATCGGATAATAAATTATATACGGATTAGTATACGGATTATCCGTATATAAATTATAACGGAAGGAAATTATTATACGGATAAATCCGTATATAATTTTCGTATAATTATAAATTAGATACGGAATAAATCCGTATATAAATGTTTAAGAAGAGCTAAATAAATGCACTTGTATATAGCAGTTATGCAGGTACTATAGCTTTCTCTTGGTAACAGAATATATTTCAACAACCTCTTAAAGATGAAAGAACAAAAAATCAAGCAACCTCAAAGAAAAGTGAGACAAATTCTAAGAAAATATATTCATATGTACAATAATCATATTAAACTATATACCATGAAGCTTCAAATTCAAGTGCCACAAGTCTCCTTACTATAGTGCATGTGCAAAATCTTAATTACACTGGCCAATTCTTAAGCAATCAACTTTGAAACAAAGGAATTACAAGTTTTCAGAACAACAAAAAAACATTAATTAGCAAATATAAGCTCAATCATTAAATAAAAGGATATTCTAGTACCATAAATGCAACCAAAAATGCACTGCAAGGTGGACGGGAAATTGTTTGCTGCTGCAATTGACCGCAGAAATAAACATTTTTTCAATCTTTTAACTGTTACAAACTATGATAGTACATATAACTTCACAACAATGCCAAAACTAATAAGAGTAAATTTCAATTCAATGTGCAGATTTAGAAAGCTACCCTTCAAAGTAGACTATAAGCTTAAGCGATTAAAGGGAACTCGTGGTCAATAAAATTTTTGTGAGTGGAAATTGACAAGGCTATATACGACAGCAACACCTTGCACAACTAAAAGTTAAAATATCACATGGAAGAAGAGGAAAAAAAAATAGCCATATTGTTCCTTACTAATTCACCACTTCAAGATTATGGAAGTCCGAGGAGGCTTGCAAGGAAGACAAAGGAACTTCACCAACAAAACTGCCAACAAAACCAATTGCAAAAAAAAAAAAATTTATTCAATACAATAAACAAGGACGAAAAAATAGCAAATAGAAATATCTAAGCAAGGCAGCGGGCAAACCTTTTCCGAAAATGGCTTTGGAATAGGAAGTGTTCATAGGAATCCCCTAAGACTCAGCAAATGCATCAATCATCTCAAAGCCCACCTAGACAATCATCAAATCAAACTTGTATTTCAGATTTAGCCATTTGTTCAAGAGGATTTATTTTGTCTATTTAGCTATTGGATCTGATCTTGTTCTTATTTTACTTAGCAGTCTTTAGAAAACTTAATTTAAATGTTTTAATGGTTTAATAACAGTTTAACAATTTTGGACATTTTTTAAACAAAAAAAAAAAATGCCAAAAATACCAAGGTGACCACAAAGATGAAAAGGAAAACAGCAAATTAAGAAATACATACCATTGCTATAAGCTTGTGCAAAAACAAAACCATTGATTAATCTTAAAGAAAAGTACAAACCAGATATGGGACAAAGCAATTTGAACATCAAAACTCTGAAACTCAAAGCAGGAGCAATGTACTATATTTAAAGAAGCATGTAAGTGTATGTATGTTACATGGAAAATTCAAAACCATCAATACCTGCCCCTATAACTCATTGTATGCATCTTATTCAAAATCAAAATCACGTTACTGGATAATTAAAACCAAAGGTTTCTGAAAATGTGAGTAATATTTTGCAATTATTTTATATTATCATTTATCGTTTCGTGTATATTCTTTTCCCCGAATAATTTATCATCTTAAAAACTAAAACTTGTTTATTTATTCCCATTTAAAAATTTTTTATGAAATGAAATTGATAGTGTAACATGAGAAATTCGTTATCACCAAGATTATTATAGCATGAGCTTATAAGGGATCTATTACAGTTAACAAGCAAGGAATAACTATACAAAAACAAAAAAGAGAAGTTAATTCATGACATCAAATGATTAACATTTAAAAAAAAACACACTAGTAAGTAAGTTTTTGTCTCTGCTATTTTTTATTCCAGTAAGCTTCAAAGGAAATTGGTCTCAAGGAGTGGTTGGGTGAGTGTGTGGGTGTTGGTTAGTGGGAAGAGTGAGGGTTTGCTGGAGGTGGTGAATTGGGTAGAGTGTGGTTGGGAAGAGTGGGGTGTGTGCTGTTTGGGAGATGGGGGGTGGAGTGAGTGGTGGGGGGAGGGGGTCAGTGGAAGTTGGTGAGGGGGAAAGGGTGGGCGGGTTAAGAGATTGGGGGGGTGGTGGGGGAAGTGTGGTGAGGTTGGGGTGGGTGGGGGTGGGTGTCTTTGGGGGGGGTAGGGGGGAAGTGGGACTAGTTATTGGGGGTGAAAGTTTAAGGGTGGAGGTTCGGAGTGGGTGGTGCGGTTGTTGGCGAGTGGGAGGGGGGGGGTTTGTGGGGGGAGGTGGGGGTGGAATGTAAAAGGCAAGGAGTGGGAAGGTGGGGTAGTAGGTGGGGGTTTGGTTTAGGAAGTGTGTGGGGGGAGTGGGTGGTAGGCGTTGTGGATGAGTGGGTGTTGGGGATGAAGTGGTTTTCTGGGGGTGTGGGTTGGGAGGTTGGGAAGTTTGGGGTTAGGTGTGTTGTTGAGTGTGTGTGTGTTGTGTGGTTGGAGTTTTGTTGGTAGTGGGGTTTGGTTGGGAAAGTAAGGCATGGTGCATGATGACATGAAAGAATCACTTGTTGAGAAGGCAGCCCATGAGCATCAATATGGAGAGCACGGCCTTGGGAGCACGTGAATGATGGGAATTCATTTGTTTTTTTAATTGAAAAGTGCACATGGGAGGAGACAAAAACACACGGCTGAAAACAATAAGTGGAGGACCCTTTGTGACATGGAAAACACTATATTATTGGAGAAATGAGAGACTTGATACGTGAAAGAAGAAGGGGGCAGTGTGGAATTAATGGAAAGGAAATGACCTCTTTCTTGGCTGAAACAAAGTACATGATGACAAGGAAGCCACCCACATATAGGACAGACCAAGGAAGAAAGTGGAGAGCACATAGTAATCACAATGAAAAACAAATAAGTAAAAGTAAATAATTAGCATGCATGGGTTTTACTGTTACAAAGGTTAAGCATAAAAACAAAAAAAGATAGTTAGGGAACTGCAACCTTCTTGGCCTTGTTGGTTGGCTCTTGCGATGCCCAAACTTGGGAGATACCTCACTGTGGCCATATCGAACCATAGCTGCTGTGGGATGATGAAAAGATGTGAATATTTGATACACTCAATAGTGCACTTAAACTCATTTCTCTGGCTTTTAACCACACTTAGGAAAACCAATTTTCTCTATTCCCTTAAGGGAAAAAGGGTTTGTCAAGTGAAAAGTATACAATTAATTTTACAAGCAATGTTTTCAATATTTATCTTAAATCTTTTATTTAGACTAGAAGCAGTAGTAATTAGGTTTTCATGTCACTTGTCTTGGACCAGGAGTGGAGGTTGTTAATAAAGAGACTGCATGTACCCAAAAAAGATATATCTTGATCTTTTTATACCTACATAAGAAAGATATTCTGTGAATTCATCTGATAATAATACGAGTTTAGTGATATTTTAAGGTTCTTATTATTTAATCTAGTGAGAAATCAAACATTAAATAGAAAAAAAAAACGAATTAAATATGAACCATACATAACTAAAATATAAAATGCTTTAAAGACAATACTTACAAGTCCAATATTGTAGGGATAAGCCTTGGTAGGGAAGTCTTTAACTGTACTCGTGTTATGAGACCAACCATCTGCCCTAGTGCTTCTACAGATGCGACACGAACCTAACACGAAATAATAAGTTTAAAATAGACAAAGAATCAAAAACAATCCAAGAAAAAAAGTATAAATTATACACTAAAATACTCATTTTATGGTCATCAACCACACAAAAGAACATGTTCAGAAACTTAACTTTTATAGATGTATCAGCAAAAAAAGGATCCAGAAAATTATAAAGTGGAGAGACTACTTCCAGGACTTGACGACTGTCAACTTCTAAAGAAAAATTCTTAGCCCTCGTTTTTCATTCCTTGACACTAGTGTTCTAAGTCAATTGATAAGTTAACAACTAATAATCTAAATTGTTCAGAATAAGGCATTAAGAACACGATAAATTATTGTTTATACTTTATAATTTGTCAAAAGGAATAAATGTTTAGAAGTGACACAAGTAGTTTAGAAGATGCGACTCATTGTAGATCGAACTTCTTCTCCAATCAATTATGTTCACTATGGTATGAAGAAGCCAATCAAGCTCAATAATAGACCGACGAGAAAAATAAATAAAAGTAGAGCTTTAAGAATTTATAAATAATCAGTCAATCCATCAAAAAATTATCCAACATGAAGAATCTGACAGTGCAAAAAGGATCAGAAGCCATTCAAATTCAAAAGGATTTCTGATGGAAAGCACCTCCAGCTTCACACAAGGGAAGATAATGAAAATTCTTTAAACTTTACTTACAGAGAAGGAGTCACATTCATGTAAATGCAAATATTTTATAGGTGGCAAGGATTGATGGCTCCCATTACGTTCAAGTGCTGGACCAGGCCAAAATTTCCGAATAATTGGCTTCTTGTCAAGACCACATTTGACGGCCGTGATTCTCTCTGGAGAAATATTTAGTAAGGTTATCAAAAAATCTGTTAGACATGGAAAATATGGCTTTTTGCCCCAGGGAATTTAAAGTCATCTAATCTAAGAACTAAGATAGGGAAACCATAAGGTATTGATATTATAGTAATGTTAATTCGTCTGCACTATAACCGCAGGCATTGTCTCAAGATGAAGGAAAATAATTGAAGATTACCACCACTTTTTGAAATACAACTTATGCAAATCCCTCTTTCCTCACGTCAACTTACAACTTTCCTTTATGCTCCTTCCTCGTAAGTCTCTGAATTCTAGCAGTACTCATGATGATTTTACATGACTCAAAATAACAAGTTCGGACACCATAGGCCTAGCCATAAACATTTTCTTTGATAGAAATGTTTTTAATACCCTCTGTACCAACCAACAATATAAGATGATGTAACATAGGACAAAGAAATAAATTATTAGCTCTCCTTATTCCTTAATTTTGTTAGTTCCAACTATATATGTAGTAACACTTTTGAAGTTCATAGTGATCATATTGACCAAACTCCAGCTTATGCACTGACTTACTTTAATCATGGACCACAGTTGGCATCCGTGTGTCTAAAATCACAACAGGTCCAGCATGTGATGCCTTTTTTTTTCGAGTCCCTAAGTCCCTAGTAAAGGGAATTTCATTTTGACAACCTTCGTCCAAATCTTCTCTCAAGGCAAATTTGAAACCATTCAATTTCCAGCAAATTATTGGCCATGGGGAAAATAAATGGGGGAAGGACAACTTCATTTCAAAACCTTGAATCACTTTTTGTTCAACCATCTATTAAATGAAGACTCAGAATTATGCTTATTCTCAAAAAAAATTATGTCAACAAGCTTAACATTCATCCCCCAAAATCAGAAAAGCTATTTTTTTTATGGAAAATCATTCTTTCAATATTAAAATCAACTAGTCCGGTCACCTTAAGCTTCCTATCATCTATTAAATCACAAACAAAGTAACAATCACACAAAAACAAATCATCACATGTGAACTTAAACACAACCAAGTCTCTAATGCATTAATAACTGGAAGGTGCAAGAAGGCAATTGGAGCTCACCTTATCTCTTCCAACGGGGGGAACAAAAAAACCAACTAGGGTTTCAAATTCGGGGATTCAACCTCCAAGAAAACAAGAACATATCGGTCAATGTAAACATTATAGATACTATGAAATGAAGCAAATTTGGATTAACTTACCCAGAGGAAGGTTTCCAAATAACCACGGGAGGTCGTCCTACTCCTTACATGTTTGCTGAACGAGCTTGTGTCGGCATGGGGCAACGACGCACAACCCATTAGGAAAATGTTCCAGCCCTAGGGTGTTCGATAGAAGAGGCCTTTCACTGCGTGCGACAGAGGAAGACTTCAAGTTAGCCTTTGAGAGAGGTTCAAAGGAGGGGAAGGTTTGCGTAGCATACGAATACGCTCCATGAGGGAGAATAAGCCTGAACGAGGAGAAGGTTGCAGTGATGTGAGGAAGATAAAGAATTAATGACGAGGAGAGAGGCATACGTACGAGTGGAGAAGCACGAATAGTAGGGCTCGAGAAGGGGGAAACTTGGCTCGAGGGAGGGAAGGAGGGAGAAGAAAAGTGATACTTCTATATTATTAGTTTTACTTTTTAATATTAATTATCTCCATTATCCGTTATAAAAATAGGGGTGGGTAATATTTTTGGCAACTTACAACGGTCTTACATACGGATTCTATCCTTGAAAAAAGGTCCCGCTTACACGCACCAATTTTACCACCGATAGTAGATACGGATAATCCGTATAGACACATTTTACCTCATTATATACGGATTTTTCCGTATGTAAGGCTATTCCACAGATCCGTATATAAAATCCGTATATAACATCCCTATTATATACGGATAAAAATCCGTATATAATAATCTGTATAAATTGCCATTGTTCTTGTAGTGGAAGGAGAGGGGAGCGTGGAGGTAGGAGAGAGAAACCACCGTGAAAATGGAAAATGGGAAGGGAGGAAGAGGTGCCATGGAAGGTGCTAGAGTGAGCTTTGGATCTCTAGCCTATGACTTCAAAGAGAATAGTTTCTGATTCAGAAAAATCAATTCTCATTAATCTCAAAAGTGCTAATACAAGAGAGGAGTTGGGTATTTATAGTAACCCATGCTCCTTAAGAGCTAAGGTATGAAAAGGATTCCATCAGCTCTTCAATCACGCGCCTAACTTGGGCGTCGGAGTGTCTTGTGCAGGTACCTCCTGTAACACCCGAATATTTTAAAGGGTATTACTGATAGTAGAGACTAAATTAATTTGATTTCTCATATAAACAATCAAACTTTTATTTCAATTACTCCAAGTCAATACCAAACTTACAAACTTTAAACAATATAGTCTTCAACATGAAATTCAAACTGATTAAATTTTACCATCAAACATCATCTTCCCAATACAAATTTATTCTTTTTCAAAAATCCCTGAAAGGTTTTCCCCGCACTCTTCATCTCTAAGCTTTTTCAACCGCATCTGCAACATTATCCTAATCACATATAAAGAGTTAATGATCCATAGTCAAACAAATAAGGGTAAGCCAACAATATCATAAAATCATTAAAACTGTAACAAAAATATTGAAAATCATGTATTTCTGCAATGAAAAATAGTCATGATTCCGATGTCATAAGTCATTCATTAGCAAAATCATCTTACTCCTGTTCCATAAATTCTTACAAGGGTACCATGCTTACTCATTGAAAGCCTTATGATCAGGACGCTCTCTGCTGTTCCTTAAGCCTCAACTACATACTATGGCTACTTTGGGAAGCCTAGGTCAGACCCCTCGCTGCCTGCTTCCATAAACCTCAGTTTACTTGCTCATACCATAACTCTCATGGGGGTATAACTAGAACATACTACTCCCGGTAGTAAAACATCATTCATAAGGAATGATTTCTTCAAGCCCGCCAGACAGGGCAGAAAAACCAAACAATGCAGACCTGCTATCCACCGAACGCAAGCAGGTGCCATCGTGTAATCATGAATTCATAAATAAACTCGTTTTGGTATCGATAATAAACATATTGCCAAGATATCATGCTTCATAGTATAAAATCATTTTGCCCATTAACGAGTATAACAACTCAACAATTTCACCAAACAAAGACTGGATCACCAAAAACATCACATATCTTAGGAACTACATATTAAAGTCTGGGCTCAATGGTAATGATAAATAAAAAATATATATGAAATTTTTACCTGATTAATATATGCATCTACAATCCAACTTGTTTTTTTTATTTTCATCTAATAGAGAATTTTTCTTTACCCAAGTGAATTGCGTCACCGGAGACGGACCCACGATTGTCTGAAACGAATCAAAACTCACCTTCGACGCTAGCACATATGACTAGTCAAAACGGACTGCGACCAGGGCCAGGGCTGGCTCTAGTAAGGGATGTGCCAACTAAGGGTTTTAAGGTTCCTCTATCCTACCAACAAAGGGAGGCCTTCAAATAATTAACAATTTGTTTATTTAAGTAATCTACCTTGTTTCTTTGCTCTAAATCTTAAAATGCCTAATTTTACTTCCTCTCACAACAACCTCAAACAGTATCTATATTTAATAAACCATATACAAGGCTATTACAGAACCCTTATTCAAAACCCAACAAGATTAATTTCAGCAAACAAAAAAATCATTCAATAAAAGCATCCACAATAAACATCCATAGTCGAATTAATACAAGGATAATTATTAAACAATTAACAATAATTAAAACATTACTATAAATGCATAGAAGAAAGAATTACAAATTTGACAATCATAAAAATAATCTTAATATAAAAAATTCAGGGGGAAGGAAACAAAGAATTGAATCTGGCAGGAGCCGGGTGGGGGGTTAGGTTAGACAAACTTCTAAATCTCATCAATACATATAATTCATAACAAGAACAATACTATGTACTGGGGAAGGAAAATAAGAAGTTGAATCTGGCCAAAAAAGAAAAAAAAAAAACAGACAAAAGCCGGGGCCGGGTAGGACAAACTTCTAATCCTTCCAAAAATGCAATAAAATAAATAAGTAAAGAAATAAATAGTTTGGGGAAACAAGAAGTTGAATCTGGCAGAGCCGGTTAGAAAACTTCTAATCCTTCCAAAAATGTAATAAAATAAATACGGAAGGAAATAAAAAGTTTGGGGAATCAAGAAATTGAATCTGGCAGAGCCGTTTAGACAAGTTCTAATCCCCTCCAAAAATACAATAAAACAAATAAGGAAGGAAAACAATAAAATGTTTGGGGGGAGGAAACAACGAATTGAATCTGGCGAGCCGAGTTAGGACAATTTCAATCCTTCCAAATACAATAAAAAATAAGGAAAACAATAAAAGTTTGGGGAAAACAAGAAATTGGAATCTGGCAGAGCGGTTTTTTGTTAGACAATTTCGAATCCTTCCAAAATACAAAAATAAACCACTAATAACATACAATTGACATAACATAATCAATATCACATTTTACAACTATCACACTTGGATATAAACACACAAAAAAACATATTCTCATTTAAAATTCAAAATCATACAGAAACAAAATACTCCATATTTAAGATTTAAAATCAGACAAAAGAAAAATTATGCATATTCAAGACTCAGATTATACAAAACAGAAAGACGCAGAAAGTTCGCGTCCCTTACATCTATTCCAGACGAGTTTCTCTTCTCAAACGTTCTCCGGAAACTTCAGAAATTCCTCTCTTTAACTAGAATTTCCTCTAACTATTTCTCTCACAATAGTTCTCTAGAATTTTGGTTGTAGTAAATCCAGCCCCCCCCCTTGGCCTATTGAGCCAAAATGTTAATATATTCATGTTGACGATTTCTATTTTTACTATGTCACGTTTACGAGTCATTGGTACTAGTCAAAAAGTATGTTTTATCACCATTCTGATCTCTGA